GGACTCGGCAGTAATGTGGGGGCTCAAAGGATGGAACCACAATGCACAACGAAGAAAAAGGGTATCCTACACTCTGGCTGATCATCTTTTGGGCATTTGACACTTTTGAGAGTGGTGGATGTCTAAGTCAGCTGCCACGTACTGTGGCTCCATCCTCCAACCCCTATGTCACTATAGGACTCAGCAGTAATGTGTGTGTGTGTGTGTGTGTGGAGGGGGGTGGGGGGGGTTAGAGGATGGAACCACAATGCACAACAGAGAACATGGGTATCCTATACTCTGGCTGAACATCTTTTTGGCATTTGGGCACTTATGGGAGTGGTGGATATTGAAGTCCCATGCCGTGTGCCGTGGTTCCATCCCTCTGACCCCTATTGTCACTACAAGACTCAACAGTGATGTAGGGATCGGAGGATGGACTGACAGTGCACAATGTAGAAAACCGGTATCCTACACTCCTGGATTGTCGAATGTGAAGAGTCTCACAATGGCTTCTGCACCGGAAAGTGAGGGAAGGTAGGAGACATGGGCCACTGGAGGAGAGTACAAGGTGCAGGCAACTTTGATCAGGATTGTTCTGTAACACGACAGGGTCTCTTTAAAAAAACAAAAACCTTCTAGCAGCATATCCTGTTGCACGGCAGTGAAAGTTCCCTATTTACAGGGTGAAATTAATCTGCAGCTAATTGGCCTTCTGAGCTCTGTTTCCAGTTTCAGGTGACCGATCCCTGGAATGCGGACACCACGGGGCACAGCGAAAGGCTCACGGCTCTTCTAGAATTTTTTTTACTGGGCCTCCAGGATGCTAAAGAATGTCGCACATCCGTAAATATTTATACGTAATCCGCAAGAATGGCAAAATGAGGTAACGCGTGTCCTCCAAAAGCTCACAAGAATCTAACGCAGGCATGTCATTCAGGTGATGTGTGAATTTAATTAAGAGGGAACCTTTAAGGGCCTGTTCACATGAGATCAGGTCCTGATCAGGTGCTGATCAGCAGACGTGGAGCTGCTGATGCAGTGCGTTTTTGACGCATTTTTGATGCGTTTTTGATGCGTTTTCGGTCCGGATGCTGACAGTAAATTTTTTGTCAACGTTGATGACATCATAATAAGTGGAGCAAGAATAAAAAATTTTCTTTTTTTCTCCCCTTAGCTGCATTGCGTTCCGTTTCCGTTCCGTTGCGTTTCATGCGCGTTCGTGTGTTTCCAGACCGTTTCCGGACCGGACAAAATGTGACATGCAGTATTTTTTCTGTCGTAAGCTGAACGGACTGCGCACGTGAGAACTGGAGCCCATAAAACACATAGGGATACATTGGGATGCACTTTGAGTGCAGCAGCGTACGGAGCCGGTCAGCACACAAAACGGACGTCGTGTGAACAGGCCCTAAAAAAGAAAATATGGAAGCTTTCTTTGCTGAAGCAAGCCAGAAAAAGCATGCAGCCAGTAAAGTCCTGGGGCTTCTCACGATACAGAGCCCGCCTCATTTCCTGGCTGGAGGGCGTCAAGCTTCATGGTGGATGCCCTCCAGCCAGGAAGGAACAGGCAGATTTTATTTTTTGGCCAAGTCTGAAGCTCTGCTTCAAAGTTTCTGGAAGTCCAAACTTGAGATATCTCAGCAAACGCGCCCACCCCCACCCTCACCCTCCATCCCCCCACCATCTACAATCGCACCCCACTGGAATGCACAGCATTGTGGTACTGCGCGTTCCAGTGCGGATGATCGCATTGCGGGCGGAAGGTGTGTTTGGGGTGCCATTGAAATGAATGGCACCACAGCAGCAGCAGAATTTGTCAGGCCGGAACTAAGAACATAATTATTTTTTTTCCCCACCTTTTTAATAAATTGTATTATATTAGACATTTTATTATTAGTTTCATGGATTTAAGATAATCTGCATTGAAAAACTCCAAACCAGTACAATCAAATAACCAAACTTTTAATAAAAATATAAAAGCCCGATCATCAGTTTAGAGTTGGCCATGAATATTGGTCAGAGAATTATTGCTCTCACCCTCCCGCACGCGACGATACCCGACACGTGTAGCGCAATCGTCGTCGGGTTATGGAGGTCTCCTAACCACTGGGCACTGTCTGCAGGGGTCTGTGTCCCCCCTCTCATTCCTGCTGGGAGCAGCGGAGATCAGAAGGGAAACAGAGCCCATGAAACAACTAATCCTGCAATCAACTTATCGATAATGAGAATCGTTGACAACGATTCTCATTATCGATTTAATCGATTAGTTGTTGCAGCCCTGTAGTAAAGTGATGAGACCTTTTATAAAGTTGCTATGAAGCTGGCAGAAGCAAGAGAGGAATGGAAAGGAAAATAAAATTGGCCAAACCCACAATGCCATCATACCCCAAACTCACGCAGAGAACGCAGAGACTTGCATACTAAACAGTTTTTCTGCCATTCTTTTTAAAACGAGGCCAAGCATCCATCAAGACTTTGTTGTTTTGCTTTTTTACACCAGTAATTATACTCTTAACAAAAAACCTGATAAACAAAGCAAAGTCCAAATTCTGAAGCCTTTGTGGTTGTGACACGGCCAGACAGATGAGTCACTGCACTAAAATCATTAAAGTAAAAATGAATAAATAAAATCAGAGCGAAGAATAAAACAAAAAACCGCCAAAGAAGACAGAGAGGAGGCAGAAATAAAAACAGATTCACATTTTCTGCTGCCAATGAACAGATACAAAGTCTTAGAATAAATTAAAAATATCTCCAAACCATTGTGACCGACTCTGCTTCTTCCTCTAACTCTCCTCTCCTGAAATACTCTGCACTCCTGGAGGACTCTGCTCCTTCCTCTATAACTCTCCTCTCCTGACATACTCTGCTGGAGGACTCTGCTCCTTCCATCTAACTCTCCTCTCCTGATATACTCTGCTCTGCTGGAGGACTCTGCTCCTTCTTCTATCTAACTCTCCTCTCCTGGAATACTCTGCTCTGCTGGAGGACTCTGCTCCTTCTTCTATCTAACTCTCCTCTCCTGGAATACTCTGCTCTGCTGGAGGACTCTGCTCCTTCCTCTATATAATTCTCCTCTCCTGATATACTCTGCTCTGTGCTGGAGGACTCTGCTCCTTCTTCTATCTAACTCTCCTCTCCTGGAATACTCTGCTCTGCTGGAGGACTCTGCTCCTTCCTCTATATAACTCTCCTCTCCTGGAATACTCTGCTCTGCTGGAGGACTCTGCTCCTTCTATCTAGCTCTCCTCTCCTGAAATACTCTGCACTGCTGGAGGACTCTGCTCCTTCCTCTATATAACTCTCCTCTCCTGAAATACTCTGCTCTGCTGGAGGACTACGCTCTTTTCTTTATCCAGCTCTCCTCTCCTGAAATTCACAATCCATTTTTTGAGCTTTGTTTTTGTTTTGTTTTTACACAGCACACGCATGACAACAGAGATCACACACAACCTCTGTACGGCATACAACAGAGGAAATGACATGGAATGTAACACTTGATAATATATTGTATTGCAGACTTTGCTGTATTCTCTAGCCGGTCACCCGATCACATTTCCTTTACATATTCATTTCCATGTGACCCGACCTATTACAAAACACGGGCTCCCAATATCTCATGTCGAGGAAACCGACTGTGACAATGGCAATGACCCCTAGAGGACAGCATGCAGCTTCCCGCTCTCATCCCCAGCCAATGGCAAGGTCAGTTCAGAGGAAGGGAGGGAGAGACGGAATTCCATACGATGATAAATGAATCGCTGGAAATTCTTATTTTACAGAACAGTTCAGTGACACACATCGGGGTCCGCACGGAACTTTCCAACTGAATGTACTCTGGATGAAATGACACTTTTATTGGAAGGGGTCCCATTGGGTTTTAAAGGGATAATACTATGATATTGTCATGTGTCAGGTTTTCTATCCAACGTGTATTATATATTTATATATATCTCTATTTTATTATTCTTTTTAATAACAAATGTAACCATAAAGGGATAACACAGTTTATTTTTAATCACACTTTCCACAATATTATTAATGTATCTACCTGAAAAGCATTTTTGTGATTTTAACATTTTTAATTTAATATTACTAATTATTATTTATTGATGAATAATAATAACAATAATAAAAAATATCACATGATTTATAATTATTTCTAATATTATTTAATTATTTTACATTTATTTGATTGATTTAAGAATTTTAAAAAAATGATGGGTTTGAATATCCGGTCCAATCACTATTCTTTTATCTCTTCCCCTCCCCCTTACCGTTACCTTCTCTTTTCATTCAAAATATATCTAAACCACATAAAAAAAATATATGTTGCAGCTCGGTCCTAAGATATGGTGGCTGCATTAGTTTTATTTTTAGTACATTCCTGCAACTACAGAATAACACCCATTAATCCTGCCAGAAATCCAGTGTCCTTATAATTTTCTGAGCACTGAAATTAAATCTAAAACTATGTTATCAGCCTTTCCAGTTCTCTTATGTGAACTACAGGACACCTCCTCCCTCAATAGTGGAGATGAGGAAATATGGAGGTGATTGAAGTCCAAATCAGTAAAGCAGCTTAAGGGGGCAATGCTGCTCCTCTACAAATAGAGTACAGCGATTTAATCCACATTCCACCTTTGGGACCATGCTTCATGTTTCACCCATATCTGTCAGCCCCCCCAACTGGTGCCGAGTGCATCTCTGTCAGACCCACAGGTATGTGTCTGTACTTACAGGGCCTATAAAAGGGATACAATAAGGAGAAATGTCTCTGTATTGCAGAGATGTACGGCACAGGTTCTCTTTTACTTTGCCTTCACTTCTAGGTCTTGCCCCTCCCCCAACCTGTGACTGGACAGTGAAAGGAGAAGCAGCGCAGTGATGTTTTGGCTGCAATTTTGAAACACATGCAGCAATGTGTATTGGAATGATTTACGTCCTTTTTATTAACAAACAACAAAAAGAAAATAATAAACAATCACAATGAACTCTGATGGTAGAGAGATTCTCACCTCGACTGATCCTCTGCTTCTCCCCGGACAGAATCCCCGGAGTGTCAATCACGCTGATACTCTCCAGAACCGGGTTCGGCAGCTGCGCACAGACAAACCTGCACAACAGACACAGGACAGAGGTCAGGGACAGTAATAATATACATATAGATTTAATAACTCTTGGATATCACCAACAGGAGCGTCCCGAGGCTGGGTGTCACCCAGGGGCGGAGACCGGGTGACACCCCG